CAGCGTGGTGAGGGGGTGTGGGGGGGGGAGGGGCAGGGGGGGGGGGAGTTGGCGCTGATAGTAATCTACACACGGAGCTGTGTCATCCTCACATTAGTACATGGCTAGGAAGTATGAGATGATGTGGCTCATATAGAATTTTTTCATTAGCGGAAAGGGAAATGTTTTGATGTGTTTATAGACATAACTATTTAAAGAGACCCTGTCCCCCAATCATCTAAAGAGACCCTGTCACCAGACCATTTAAAGAGACCCTGTTACTAGATCTTTTTAAGAAACCCTGTAGCCAGATAATTGAAAGATGCTGACACCAGATCATTTAAAGCAGGAGTCTCAAAGTAGCAGCCCACCTCCCAGACCGTTTACTTTTGGCCCACAGGCAGGATTGCTGATGGGGGGTAGAGCCGCCTCTCCTGTACCAATCAGGTCAGTAGGGGGCCTGGTGACAGAGAGGGGGCTCTTATCTTTTGCAGCAACCAGGGGTGTACCTAGGGTTGCCACCTGTCCAGGATTCACCCAGACAGTCCAGGTTTTGAGTCCTCTATGTGCTGTTTTTGTGTTTCAGGCTAGCTGAAATCCGGACACCAGATGTCACAATATCAGGCAAACAGGGGCAACCGTGGGGTCCTGGAGTTCCAAGTGCTTGGAGGCACGGGACACGGAGGGATAGAGGAACTCGGAAAGCAAGGAGGTGTCTAAATCATAGGGTGCAGATAAGTCTCATGGTTGTCTCCCCTTGCTCCCTCTCCAACTGTCTCTCCTCGCTCTCTACCCTGGCTGTCTCTCCTCATGTGGCCCCCTTGGAAGAAGGAAATGTGCCCACTGGCCCTGAGGTCATTTGAGACCCCTGATTTAAAGAGACCCTGCATCAGGCCATTCGTTGGGACAACATATTTCCCATACAATAATATATGCATTTAATGTATGAATGTATTTTGTTTACCTGTATAAGCCTCCCTTGTTCAGACATCCAAAAGCCCCGAGACTGCTGCGGGATACCCGCCATATTGAATTCGATATCACGAGCCATTAACATGTGATTCAACATGTATACCAAAGGGCTTTGCGGTAATGTCAGCGCTCAATGGAAAATGCATTTGCTAGAAGGGAACCGTATGAACAGGCTCTAACACAAAAACCTTCATAAATATTCTCCTCTCTTTTCCTCATTAGACATGAATGTGAACAAGAGAGGAATTTCTCAGCAATCGCCCATTGAGGAGATACTTGGAAAATGTTTTCCCTTTAAGTGTACACCCCTTGAGGCCTCGTTCACACCAGTGTGTTCTGGCAGGAACGCACTGCATAGCGGCAGGCTCACTATGGTGTGTGGTAGGAGGGGGCATGGCGGTCCATTTAAGTGAATGGCATCGTAGCCACGCCCTCCGGCAAAAATGCAATCAGCTGCACTGGAATGCAAGGCACATTAATGCTTGCGGTCCAGTCCAAACAAAATAGTGCTTGCAGCATTTTGTTCGAACCAGAGGCATTGATGTCAGCACAGTGGCATAGTGGTTATTGCTTCTGCTTTGCAGTACTGGGGGTCTCTGGTTCAAATTCTGGCCAGGTCACGATCTGCAAAGGAGTTTGCATGTTCTCCCTGTGCCTGCTTGGGTTTCCTCTGGGTACTCTGGGCACACTGGAAGTTTAATTGGCTCCTGTCTAAATAGGCCCTTTATGTATATGTGTGATAGGGACCTTAGATTGTAAGCTCCTTGAGAGCAGGGACTGATGTGAATGTGCAACTATGTAAAGTGCTGCATAAATTGTCAGGGTGCTATATAAATACCTGTAATAAATAAATAGAGAGCCGATCGGATCATTGTGCTGCCTCTCCTTCATTGTCCAGTCACAGGTGAGGGAGGAGACCTGTTATAATTACTAATCTGCTGCAGAGAAAAAATAGTTTTTAACTAGATGTAAGCCCTCGTGGGCAGGGCCCTCCTTACCATCTTGTCTTGACTTGTATTGTGATTGTAATGTCGTCCTTATTTTGTAAAGCGCTGCACAAACTGTTGGCGCTATATAAATCCTGTATAATAATAATAAATGGATAGAAATACAAATCCAGTGGCAGGTAAAACAGCTCCAATATATGTATTTCGTCTGTGTAGTTTGTAGATTAGCCACTAGAGGGAGCATTGCAATACACTGTAATGTGTATGTAATGAGCAAATATGGCTGTCCTATGTACATATAAGAGCAAGTGATATACAAAAACGTTTTTTTAACACATATTGATCATTTACGTCAAGCTGATCTTTTTTTAACAAGTATATCTAATATAAAAAATCCCTTTAACAACTTTAAGTTGGTGCTCTATCCATCTGAAACCAATGCAGCAGCTGGAACAGCCCAAACCAGTTCATGGCATGTGAATGCGCTCAGTGCTCCTCTGCTCACGCCTGCTTGGCTGCCGGTGGGCGGGACCAGTGACGTGTAGCTTCAGGAGCTTTTGGCAGTTCCGTGTCGGGCAGGAGAAGGCAGGTGAGAGCATTTCGGGCCTGTCCCGGTAAACGAGCACACACTTCCCCCTCACTGTACACGCCACGCACACACACAGCTGCTCTTTAATATCACGGCTCTTCATACGGTCACTTCCTGTCACCCCATTCCAGCGACCCTCGCCCTGCCTCGTCGGCGTCTATTGAGCGAGAGGCGGAAGTGAGTTGGTCGGCGGAAAGGCATGCTGGGAAATGTAGTTTGGATTCTGCCTACTTTCATTTCAAGGTAGAGTCAGTGGACTACATGTCCCAGCCGCATCGGGGCCCGTAGAAGAAGGGTTAGAAAGCGTATTCTCGGCTCTTTCCTCGGTAAGGCTGATCTCATTGTCATTTGTTATTACAGTATTTAATTTTTCCTTTAGCAGTTATCATGTTCCTGGAGTCACATGATTGCTGTGTTCAGGGTGGAGGGGTCACAGGGTCACATGGCCTATATTCTGCACCCACCTTCTATGAAGGCCCTTTATATATGGGCAGGAGAGATGGGCCTTCACACATGTGATTTCCTGCTGGAGCCATCATAGAGCTTGGGTTGTCACCCAGCACATCTCATGGAGTACAGGAGAGCAGCTCTGTGGTGCCCTTGAGGTGTGCTGTGATTGGATGTAAATATAGGATGCCATAGTGATCCCGAGAAGATGTAAAGGATGAGATCGCCATAACTTTATCATAAGTTAAGGTTAAGCATGGCAGTAGTTGATAGCCTGCACTGCCAGATAGGCTTATCCTCGGCTTATTTTAAGGTCCAGCGTTTTCTTGCGAGCACTTGAGCCCTCACTGCAAACACTTGAGCCATGATGAAGGGGGACGTTGTGATCCCTCGAAACACGTTGTATTTACCTTCTGATCTTTTCAGAAGACTAAATAAATCTAATGTGGGACTTATTGTAAGTCTGTGGCACTCTCACCTTTATATCATTTGTGGACCATTCCAGAGAACCATAGGGAGACCTCATGTATTAGAGAGATGTCCTTTGGAACTGGAGACCACACTTGATTATGTTTAACGCTCCACCGAAACTTCCTTTGCTCTTAGTGAACCAGACAGCCGCTTTAAACATTTGTCAGGCATAGTTAATGTACGTGGGTGGGGGGGCATGTGATGTCATTTGCAGTGGCATCTGATAGATTGTCACATGGCACACATGCAGGCTTGGACTGGCCCCAGGAGGATCCTATAGTGGGCCCCTGCTCCTTACAAATCTAGCACCACTGGTATAGGCTGTATTTTACAGCTGACTTGTCTGTCAGTCTGAAATCCTGGCCTGCCCCATCATGCACCCTTATGACCGAGAGGCTTGCGGGATGTTGGCGTTCAGCTGCCAACCCTCCTTCCAGTACCGGTGTAGGCCGTCTTGTGTTGCAGACGCTGTTACAGGAAGAACAACGCCTGCCCACCCTCTTCATCCTACTAGTAAAACTGATAGGTGCAGCAGATATGAATGGAAGACCCCTGTATTTCTGAAGGAGCAGGAATTGGGGATGATCCGAGGTCTATGGTGTCCTATTGTTCTCTGACTGTCCAATGCTTGTAAATTGATACTGAATGTGTGAAAGGTGCCTTACATTAGGCCTGGTTCACACCTGAGCGTTTTGTAGCGCGTTCAACGCTCGACGAACGCTCTACAAAACGCTCAAACATCTAAATCCCATTGTATTCAATGGGTCTGGTTCACACCTTGCCGTATTTCAGCCCGTCCGAACGCGATACAAAACGGCCTACGCCCAAAGAAGTACATGTACTTCTTTGGGGCGTTTTGGTCTTGCGTTTCCATTGGGATACAGCCAAGTAGCCCTCGTAAACGGGCGTTTGTCACACATTTTTTACAGCGAATCGCGGTAAAAACGCGCATATTCAATACGCCTAGGTGTGAACCCAGCCTCACCTTTGCTAGCTAGGACAGGTTCTTGAACGAGGTTTCACTTTAAAGTGTTTCATGGTTACTCACAAAAGGGTGAAGACAGGAGAAGGGAACAATTTAGAATTAAAAAATTCTCCAATTCAGCTCACTTTCCTGTTCAGCTATGTTGTCCTAGATTGTTCACTTCTCCAGAACGCTTCACCCTTTTCTGAATAGAACTGTTTGACTTCCTTGACTTTGGGAGTAAGCTCCCACCCATCTGTCTTCTCCCTGTCCAATAAGTGTGTCAATGGATGGTATGCATGTTGTCGTTAGGGGGAGGGCCAGTAGGACCTAGATCTGAAATAAAAGTGTTTGTAAAACCCAAAATAATCTTCCATAAATATCTCCAGGTATGAAGTGTTTTGCATACTCGCATCGGTCCAGGTTGGCCCATTGTAAGTATGCATGTGCCTTACCGGATCGGCTGCCAGAGCCCCTGTAAAGCCCGTGACACAGCACATGCAAGCTGTCAGGCTCGGGTATGGCATGCAGTGTGTGAGCTGAGCGTGGCCAGGTGAAGGACTGCATCTTCAGCCAATCGGCTCACCGAATGTACTTTGCATCGTGATGTGTGGGTTGATACGGGTGAGTTGATTGGCTGAAGATCAAACTTTTTCCTCTCGGCAAGCTCAGCTATGCAAGCTCTTGCAAGCTGACATGCCGGAATTAAAATTACATGACACACTGCATGCAAAGGCAGCGCACTACTGCTCTGCGCTGCTTTGTGTGTCACAGCCTTAAAGCACTGTTGCAGCCGGAGCTACTGCAGTGCTGGCGATGATCTTCTGGTCCCTCTACTGTGCTGTACTGACCAGCTTCCCCTCTGCTCTGAGAACACAGGGGGTCACTTGCTCGGCAGAGCCCCAATTCAGCGAAAGCCTAATACTTTTAGCAATGAATACAAGGTGTTCTCTAATTGGACGATGGGTGATCTGTGACATCACCACCCCTTGGCTAATCAGAGAACTCGGAACAGTATATGACTAGCTATAGGAAATGATGTTTCTGCACTGCACTGGTCACATGTACTTTAAGGAAGTAAAGTCCTTAGTAACACAGTAAATACTCTTATGATTCCTGCACAAGAGTAATTGCGGTTGCCACTGGGATTGAAGGCCACTGGCAACAATAAACACATTGTAAGAACCCTTCCTCACTCTACTAAAAATTGTTTTTTTGTCGGTGCCATTAGAGAGATTTTCCATCACGTTTTGTCACGTCGATGTACATTCTTTTGCACATGCACAGTGTAGTGTTCACACGTAACATCTATCAAATGGCGAAGACTTGAGTCCAATGCCAGGATAATCCAACTCCATCGCACATTCATGGGAGTTGCATCATCACTGGCCACCCTATGGACTAAAGCTGGCCATACACCTGTCAATTTCTTCCGTTCAACCCGCGGGCTGAACGAAAGAAATTGACGCGATTCCTCCAACACAAACAGCGTGTCAATCGAGGAATCGCCACTGTTTGCATTGCCAACTGCAGCAGTGAGGGAGAGTGCAGAGCTGTCATCGCTGGAACAGGGGATATTCAGAGGTAAGTTTGCCATGATGTGTAAGTATGCAATGCAGACTTACATGTACATTATGGCAAGTGCTCCCTCCATCCCTCACGGCTAAGTACCACCAATTGCCATGTCCAATGAGAGAGCCCTTTCTGGCCCCTGTGTTCTAGGACAGGAAGATTGCAGTTGATGTTGTGAGAACATAGATCACCGTGTGAGGCCCTGAAAGTAAGAAGACAATCGGTTGTTATTCTGTCGTTCACTGTAAATAAACTAACAACACCTGTGGGTTTGGCATATTGTTAGACTGCTTTTAAACAACAGAGACAATTATTCTGACCATGATGTTATCTTTCAGAGTCCAATTAAAGGAGAATTATGTGGTGAGTGATTTTCACTCAGCCTCACAATCTGAGCCGACCTGTGACAATGAAACTTTCACCGGTCGGCTCAGTAGATCGGGGAAGTGAGCGAACACATACCGGTGCTCGCTCACTTCTCGATCCTGTGCTGGCAGAGAGCCGTGACAGGGGAGTGACTGGATTCCCCGCTCCGATCCTCCAGCGCTGACTGGCGGATCGGCCGGGGGAGGGGGCGATTACAGCTGGCTCTGCCTCTAGATAGGCTGTCACTCATGCAGCTGGGCGGATCCAGACAGAATTGTCGGGATCCGTTCTGGCTGCGGCGTCTCAGTATACAGCTGGCGGTATACTGAGCTTTGGGTGACGGGAGGACGCTAGTTTGTGTCCTCCCGTTACCCTTAGGCCCCGTTCACATTGAGCGATTTATCGCGCGGTAATTCCCGCGATATCGCGGCAATTTACCGCGCGATATCGCTCTCCAATGCTTCTCAATGGGGCAAAGGGTCCTGCTATCGCGTGTCGCTACAGCAGGACCCTTTTTGGAGCGGATTTAGCCGCGATTCAAGCTTGCTCAATGCAAACATTTCGTGCGATATCGCGTAAAATGCAAATCGTGCGACAAACGCGCGATTTGCAAATCGCGCAGTGTGAATGGGGCCTTAGGAGAGCTATGGGGAAAAGCCCTGACCCCATAGTTCTCTTTTAAGGTTGCTTTTTATAGAGATAGAATATATGCTATGAATTCGACAACAAAAACTTTCAGTGCTCAAAATACAGTCCCACTGATAGATGACTTCCATCCAAAATGTATTAAATTAGTTCCATAAAGATGCAGACTGAAGAATTATAATATCCACGGCCTTGCAGCCCTCTCCATAATGTGAGATCCTTGTACATCCCTATAGTGTGGATGGGAAGCACAGAAGCATTGTGTGAAGTCATCAATGAAACCTTATTAACCACATACATACTGGCCACTGTATTACAAGCACTGGTGCATTGTTCCAGGAGGGAGATTGAGTTCTGGCACTAGTGATATCTACTATTAACAAAAATGTGTCTTATTTATGTATCACTCGGCTGTAGGTCCTCAAATCATCTCTGAATTGGTGCTGACACTGTCCTTCCTTCTGTAGGGTGGCTACATTTGTTCCCCATGGTCCCTGTGTGTGTGGTAAAGTAGCCAAAGCTCCAAGTTCACTCCTGTGATGGACTACAATCTCATGTTTAGTTCACTAATTTCTATTAAATTTATCACAGGTGTGAGCTTGGACCGGTGGCTACTTTACAACACACACATGGACCGTGGGGAACAAAAGTAGCCACCCTACAGAAGGAAGGACAGTGTCAGCACCAATTCAGAGATGATTTGAGGATCTACAGCCGAGTGATACACAAATAAGATACATTTTTGTTAATAGTTAAGGTACTTGAATTCATTTTTAAGATTTAACTCCTGAGTTAAGCGTCACTAAGTTTTTTTGTTTGTTTTTTTTTTAAAGATTTCACATGATGCCAGTGCGCTTTCTGTATCTCTCAAATGCTGTAAAACGTTAATCTCCATGTAGCTAGCAACAACTTTCTGTTTGCAGACATTCAGCATATCATATGATAAAGCAACTCTACAGCAGTCCCTGGCTAGAGGCAGACTCCTAAGCACCCAAGAAAGGTCACATCATTTTTAGTGAAGCTTCAGGCTACTTGCCACATACTGTTCAAATATATATAGAATTTTGTCACATTTTTCTTGACATGTGACAATACTCAACATTAAATTGGACCTTTTACCCACTTTCACTAAAAATCACATGAGCATACAGCTCTGCAAGCTGATTTAAAATCATCTTGCATTCATTAGTTAAACAAACTTGTTTTTCATTTACTTCCTGGTCCTCTTCTGGCACAAATGATGTAATGTGCCAAAGCGTTGCATCCTGGGAAGGTTACATCAGCAGAGCATTGCTGGGAAACTTCATCTGTAATCTCATGAGATCTCAGGGAAAGGCATTGTCCTCCCCTGAGTTGATGTGCATGGTCACATGTCCTAGTCACATGTGCCAGAGTTCCAGGAAGTAAATGGAGAGCTAGTAATCTGCCCTTAGTTAACATGGGCACTGTCAGAAGACTGGGGAGGAAAAGAGAAGTAAGGAATGTAAAGAATACAAAGCCGGCAATTATATAGAAGTATGTGTTTGTAGATTGTCATTACTAAACCTTTCTAAAGGAGTGTTTGTTGTTATTTTAAAGATATGGGTAAAGGTCTACTTTAGGAATCCCAGTATTTTCAGTGGTGCCCATTCACACCTGAGCATCGTGCACCTGCTGCTTGTAGCTTGAAAACGTACTAGAGCTTCTTTTTGAGCCAGTGCAGTGAGGAGTGCTCAGAACGGTGTGTCGGTGAAACAAAACAGCAGCCACACCAGCGTATGGCACAGCATAGAAGAGCCAAACCCTCTGGTCAGGGTTCAGCTGTGTACCTACATCCTAAGGAAAAAGGTCACTCCTTTGAAGACAGTCAAGTATGCATCCAGGACAGCCCTTTATGTTACAATGGAGAAGCCAAGCTTAAATAGAGAGGGGGGGGGGTGAGGAGACATCTAATCTTTGCCACATACAATGCTGTTTTAACACTTCTCTCTGGGCAGCTTAATAGCACCTGCTAGCTCCAATCATGCAAATGCAATCAACACCTTACCTCCATGATGTCTCTGACCCCATGCTGGTTATGATAAACAGATTGTTGATTGGATCAACCTTCACCATATTTATTCCCTGAGAATTTTTGTACAAGTCATTCTGAATTGAGAAAGCTGGTCGGATGACCAGCGAAACGTCTTCAAGAAAAATACAGCAAGTCCAGTTGCCTTGATTTATTTATTTTTCTCAGATATATCATGACCTGGATGAATGAGATCCTTCACAGACATTCTTTTAGGGCAGAATTTCGTGTTTTTGGCCCCATAGAATTCAATGTGCCTAACGACCCATCTCCTTCTAGTAACTAGCTAAAATAATAGAGCTCAGGCTAGGTTCACACCAGATGCAGTGCGTTCCGGCTCACTGTTTTGCTGGGCAGAAGGGGGCGTGACGGGCCATTGAAGTGAATGGCACCGTAGCTACGCCCTCCGGCCGCAATGCGATCATCCGCGCGGGATCGGTGCAATCAAAATAGTGCTTGTGGCTACTGACGCAGGAGGGCGTGGCAACGGTCCCATTCACTTCAATGGCCCACCACGCCTCCTCCTGCAACACAAAAAAGTGAGCCAGCCGCAATGCGATGAAGCGCGTTCTGGCTAGAATCGGGCCGGAACGCACTGCATCTGGTGTGAACCTAGCCTCAATCCTGAGACCACCTGAAAATTGCACGCAAAAACCCTAAACAAAGCTTCTAAATCACCTGCAATACACTCAGCTCAGATGTGAATGGAGGATTAGCTGCAAGAGAATTTGTACTTCTGGTAAAGCATTCTTGTGATTTACATCTTATACAACCTAACGGGATAGACAAATATTTCCTGATCCAGCCTAGTGGCTTTCTGTGTCACATCCCCGCCGCCATGTGTCAGAGTTGTAACATCTGTCCACTGAGCATGGGACTGACTCAGGAAGTAACAGAGTGATCGTCATGTTTAACAGAGACTCATATCCACAAACATGATTTTACAGTGTTGTTAAAAATGCCTTCCAATTTCCTTTTGCAGATGATGGTGTCATTTTCTAAACTTGTCATAAAACTGAAAGCACTTTCTTTTCAAAATGGCGACGTTGTGGCGTTCTGCATGCTGTTGGTATACCTAATGACCCCACAAATCTCATTTCCTACTTGTGTGATTGGCTTACTGCTTTTTTTTCAGACGTCTGCACCGAGAAGTCAATTTGTCAGTTTATATCAAAGCAGTCACTATGACTGCTTGATAAATTAACTTTTTTAAAACATTTTGGCTATTAGGCTGTTCCAACCTTAGGAACAGCTTATAATAACCTTAGAGACTGATCCTGACTTTAGTCAGATTCAGATCTCACTAAAAGCTCTTTGATCGTGGCTAGATGATCAGAACTGATAAATTTCACTCAAAAGATATACATTGTATCTTTTGAGTGAAATGTATCTAAACATCGGGCTCTGAGCTGTCAAAACAAATAGCAGAGAGATGAGTCACTGCTACCTCTTTGCTATTTTCAGCTGTCAAATACAGGATCGCAGATTGCGGTCCTGTATTTGCATGTAACGGCTTCATTCTTTCATTAATGAAAGGAAGAAGCTTTTACAAAAAGCTTAATTATTTCATTTATGAATGCCTCAATACTGAGGCATTCATTACTGACTGGTAACAGCTGAGAATCAGCAGTTACCAGCATTACAAAGCCTGATATAACTCGTCATGTACAGTGTACGCGGCCAGTCATATAGGAACAAAGTGCCGGGGACGTACACTGTACGTCTCCTGTCACGAAGGGGTTAACTATTAACAACAATGTATCTTATGTGTATATCACTCGGCTGTAGATCCTCAAATCATCTCTGAATTGGTGCTGACACTGTCCTTCCTTCTGGAGGGGGGCTACTTTTGTTCCCCATGGTCCCTGTGTGTGTTTTAAAGTAGTCACCACTCCAAGTTCGCTCACGTGATGGATTACAATCTCAATCCAAATTAGTAAACTAAACATGAGATTGTAGTCCATCACAGGAGTGAACTTGGAGCAGTGGCTACTTTACAACACACACAGGGACCAGGGGGAACATAAGTAGCCACCCTCCAGAAGGAAGGACAGTGTCGGCACCGATTCAGAGATGATTTGAGGATCTACAGCCGAGTGATACACAAATAGCTAAATTTTTGATAATCGTTAAGGTACTTGAATGCATTTTTATGATTTTTACCTCCTGAGTTTACTGTCACTTTAAGTGCAAAATGCATAGAGGCGATCAGAATAGCTCCGTGTCTCATGATCACAAATGTAATTAGTGAAAAATAAAAATGTTTACAATCCGCTCTCCCCTTCCGCCTTTGCTGTCAGTCGCTTCACCTTTGTAAGTAGCACTGTTCCACTAACCAACAACAGGAGCACTCTAACCACAAAGGGGGTACACTGACCAGCAAGAATACACATCAAGGCAGCCAAGGGGTTATATAAACCATAAAAGGGGCACACTGGGGGAAAACACCATCAGACATAGGGCATTCATCACTGATCACCAACATATAAGGGGGCACACACTATTGACCACCAACATTTAAAGGGGGACTCGCAACTGAAAACCACATATGGGGCACTAACTTCTGACCACTGAAATTTGCAGGCTGTTCTACGCATTGCGCAGTCCAGACCCCTGAACTCTGACTGCTGCACTGTATATGTTATGTCCTGAACTAAGCTATTTTGGGGGTGTTGGTACTACGCTGGCATTTTAGGGCCTTAAATGAGAACATTAGTATGTTGTTTTTTTTTCCTTTTACACATTAAACAATAAAAATACAGGTGGCATTACCACCAAAAGAAAGTTCTGCCACAGAATATTATACGGGTACAGTGTTCCATGACCAAGTCATTGTCAAACTATCACAGTGCTGAGTAATGAGTGGAGTATATACAGGCTGGGTTATTAAGCTAGTGTAAAATGCAGTTACTTCCAGCAATCCATCAGTATTTACCTATTGACTGAGAGGTAGATGGATTTAGAACTCTGCATCTTGTACAGTATTATTATACTATGCTCTGCTTTGTTCAATAATTCTGCCTAAATATGTGATGTGACTTTCTGTAGATGCAGTGAGGGAAAAGCGGAGATGCTAGAAAACAAAACATATGATATATAGTCCTAGCCAGCACCAGACCATTTTGTTACACATACCCGAAGCTTTGGAGGAAGATTATTTAACCTCGGGATCTTTTTAAATAAACTGTGTTTAACCTGGTCCTTTCTGCTTCATTATTCTGCTACATAAAATGTCAGCCATTGTCTGTTCACGGCTCATAGTAAATCTTTGTTTTATGCAGAAACAGAATGTCAGAAGGAGACAGTATCGGTGAGTCAGTTCATGGCAAGCCCTCACTGGTATTTCGCTTCTTCTCAAGGTTATCGCAGGTAAGTGAATGGAAATTCATATATATGACAAGATATTGTGCTTTGCCATGAACACTTTACTGTGCCTTTGCAAAATAATGTATATACAAAACAAATCCTTGGGTTCTAGTTAGCATATAGAGCCGTTGGGGTGTGGCCGAGTGCCCTATTAGAATAAATGGAATTTCCCATTGACTGCAAATACCCTGACTCTGAAAATAGGGTCGGGTTATGCCGTCGCTTCAGTCTGCCGTGCGTCTACTTGTTTGGTGTGGAACCTTAATGTACACGTGTCAGATTTAGAGCATTAATGATTCCACTCCTTATTTTTGTAAAGCTTGTTTGCTTAGGAGCTATAATTACCACATTTCATACATTCCTGCCAGCGGTTAATTTCACTTGATTAACTACCTTTCATGAAACTGCTGAAAAGGTAGTTAATCAAGCATGACCTTTTTATTTCCTTTAAATGTTTGCTCTGTACGTGGTCTGTGCTGATGTTGGGGAGACACATATGTGTAATTATATATATATATATATAATATAAAATGTGTGTGTGTATGTATAGTAGAAGGCTTGGACAAATCCCAGAACTCAGGAAGATGGTGTTTATAAAACCACAGATGAGTCGAAAATGTTTTTACCTTTCCCATGGCTCTCAAAGGAAGCTCTTGTTCCTTAGAGGACCGGTACTATGGAAGCTGTGCCCAAAAAATAGGCAGGCAGAGGACAAAGGAGTAGTCAGCAGCATTGCCTGTGGTCTCCCTGCAACTGATATTTCCCCATTACTGACTTTCCAATACTTTATTCTGCATGGTTTCCCTTTGGGATGACTATCTTGGCAGTGGGAGTGCTTTGCTTTCTCATATCAGAGGTGGTCCCTTGATGAGTGGTGATATGATGGGGAAATATTCAAAAAGCAGTCGGAGAAGTGCAGAAAACATAGATCCAGAGAATGAGAAGAGCAGAAACAGGGAGTCTTGGAGATGGACTATTATAGCGTTGGTCCAATCAGAATGTGGCATAGCAGAAGGAAGCAGGCAAGCTTCAGCATTACCTGGATGTGTTTCTGTAGTTTATACTTAATAACAGCTTTTTATATTTAGTTACATTTTAATGTAACAGTCACTTCAAAGGATCTGTCCTGCCACCAGGAGCCGGCCCTTTAAGTGTTCATAAAGCTGGCCGTACACCTTATAACCATCGCAAGACTTTCGTCTTGCGATGGTTGTAAGGTAATTAAAAAAACGTACGATCTTCCCATCTTGGACAGGCAGATCGTACTAGAGATCATCGCAAGCCCTCCCCGCTGAGGGGCGGGCTTCCGATGACTGCAATGCTGAACGGGCAGAACGTGCGACTGTAGAGTAGAAACGGTTGCACGCCTTAGATACACCTGCTGATTATTGTACGATAATCGGCAGGTGTATGGGCACCTTAACACTGGAAGCTTCCCCATAACTCTGATTGCCTGTCACCCTGGTCATATGAACAGGCGCCCTTCCTACTGTCTCCCGATTGTAAGCGGTCACGAGGTGCCGTCGGTCACAGTGAAGGGGGACGTATGATTGCGCATACTCCCAGCACAAACCAACCATATGTATATATGTGGCGGTGCGTCATAAAGACCACTGCTGTGCTGCCACATATATGCATGGCCGGTGGCGTCAGCTTAATCCAGCATTTCTCAACCTTTTTTTTTAGTCATGGCACCCTTTAAAAGTATGTGAAATCTCCAGGCACCCCAGTCTAAAATGTGAAAAATGTTAAAAAATAACATGGTCCCCCCAAAATCCTTTTTTAAGGGGGGGGACATGCAAAAACACATTTAAAAAGATGGGGTTCCTCCTTCACATTGGAGAACCCCTGTGTATCAGGTGCCCCCCTTCACTTTTTTTTGCTTTACTTTTTTTTTGCCCGAACACTTCCAAGTCTCTCAGCTCGGCTTCCCCGAACTTCCTGTCGAGTACAAGCTCACAAAGGGCAGTGCAGACTCAGGCAACTGTTCATCTACTAGCTTGAAGAAGGCAGGAGAGGGGTCTGAGGGCAGGGAAGTAGCTTGATTTGCTGTGTTTGTGTGGACTCACACAGCTTACTAGCACACATAAGGGGTGACTGCATAGCACTCTGCTTGAGAAAGGAGTCGCTCTATAACGGGATGTCATGACCACTGCTCAGGAACCAGCTGATTCTGCAAGAAACTAAAACTTTTAAACATCAAGAAGCAGCTTCCATTGTAAGTGATTTTTATCAGCATTGGAAGTGGCCTAAAATCCTTTTAAGTTTAATATCGCTTTGAGTTGATTCATTGCCTTTGCACAATTTGTGCCATGTATCCAGTGCAGCATCACCAAAACTGAAACCTAAAGATGAGGTCTTGGTATAAGCAGGCTAATGGCTTCATTCTGGGCTGCTACTGCAGTATCTTGGACTACTTGTCACAGCACACCTTGTACCTGACTACTCGTGGGTGTGTATGGGCATGAGTGAATAGAATCTGGAAGCACATGTAGGGGTTAATTTTAGGAAAACTAGAGCATCACAATCAGTCAGATTCCTTGTTTCCTTCATGCTGAGGATACTGACTGCTTGGGCCGCTGCTACACTTGCTCCTGTCTTATTCAAGGGAATGCAGTGTGCACTCCGATAGATTAATTCATCCGTACAATTAACCTGGATGGAGGAATCTTAGATTTTTTTCATTCAGCCTCGAAGGCTAAACAAAGAAAATCTCTCCATGTGTACCCAGTTTTAGTTGTTCCAAATTCCCCGCTGCCACCGCCGCCCACTCCACAGCAGTATATGCTCATCTTTCTCACCTTTCCTTACTCCTGTTGATTTTTCCACTTCCTGTAACAAGGTGACAACGCTGTTCTACAATGCAATCACAAAGCAGCCTTGTCATCCTGTGGATGGGGTAGTCTTAGTAGGACATGAAGTTTTTAAATTGACTTTAAGTGAGATACAGACATATTAAAGCTCAACTCCAGGCAACAGTTTTTTTTTAAGCCATTAAAGGAGAACTATGAGGTGTGTGAAAATCACTCACCCTCATAATTTGAGCCGATGTGCGACAATGAAACTGTCACACGTTGGCTCAATAGATCGGCAAGTGAGCGAACACATACCGTTGCTCGCTCACTTCTCGATCCTATCCCTGCAGAGAGCCGTAACTGTCACGGCTCCCTGCATGGATTCCCCCCCTCCCCGCTCTGATCCTCCAGCGCTGACTGGCAGGACGGACGGGGGAGCGGACGGGTACAGCTGGCTCTGCCTCTAGATAGGCAGAGCCAGCTGTCAATCACGCAGCTGGGTGGATCTCGACATTAATGTCGGGATCCGTCCCGGCTACGGCGGTCTCAGTATACTGCGAGCTGTGGCTCGCGGTATACTGAGATTTGGGTGACAGGAGGACGCTAGTTTGTGTTAATCCTTATTTTCCTTCTTTTGTAAAATGAGGATTGAAACCATATGGGAAGAAGCTGGCTGCTGTACACATCCCTCCCAGTGTTATATGGTTTGTCCCGCCCCCTCTATCTGCCTCTTTGGCTGGACCGCTTGGCCTGTTAAAGGAAGTGGAAAAATAATGTCTCTACTGGCAGGATCAACCTGTAACAAACTATGTTATGGGGGAACTCAAAAACAAAAACTGCTGTGTTAATGAGATTGAGAGACTGCACCAAATGTCATTTTTGTGCACATTTAATAAGCTGAAAATTGGTTTGTTAGGGATAATGGTTGCCTCTGGTGTGTTTTGTGATTGATACACGTTAATAAATCCCACATGAACAATTTAGTTTGGTTTTGGACTGTCTCTACCCTGGTGACAGAATGTCCTGTTGTTGGATGGATTTTATTTAGATTTAGATTATTTTAATCTTAGTGGAGCTTTCTTTATCCCAATGATTGCAATGTGTTTTACATTTCTAACATAGAGGGGTTTTTTCTATTTCAGATTTACCAGTCATGGCTAGACAAATCTACACCTTACACAGCAGTGCGATGGGTGATGACCATGGGTCTATGCTTACTCTACATGATAAGGGTTTATATACTACAGGTATGTTCTATTATCTGTTGCAAAATGTACAAATTTTAAATGCAAAAAATGCAATTAAAAATGCATTGTGCACTTCACAGGGCTTGCCATGATTTGTAATATATTTTAATATGCATCAACTGGCCATTTTGGATCCAAATAGTGCTTGGTAGATAAAGGGTGATTGCAGTTTTATATTTTAAAACATGATAATAAACCCCCTTGGTATCTGCAGCCACAGCCTAAGCAGAGCACAATTATTTTGTCCTGAAGAACTGTCTCCCCTTGCCAGGACCAGCACAGTGTTTACTAGCTCTGGTACTCCATACTTTCCATTATTTGCTAATCTGGATGTGGTGTCTTTGGCAGACTGACCATTGGGCCTGGCCAATGAGCAGCCGGTCTCTCTCTAGTCCTGGCCTATGAGCAGCCGGTCTCTCTCTGGTCCTGGCCTATGAGCAGCCGGTATCTTTGATTGAGAGTCATGGAGCTAGTTTAGTCCTGGCCTATGAGCAGCCGGTCTCTCTCTAGTCCTGGCCTATGAGCAGCCGGTCTCTCTCTAGTCCTGGCCTATGAGCAGCCGGTCTCTCTCTAGTCCTGGCCTATGAGCAGCCGGTCTCTCTCTAGTCCTGGCCTATGAGCAGCCGGTATCTTTGATTGAGAGTCATGGAGCTAGTAAACACTGCACTAACATATTTAAACCGAATTAACAGCGCTAGTAGGTGAATCAAATAACCATATAATCGTGTTTGTGGACTATATATATCATAAAAAGACCACATGAATGCAAGTACCGTTAATCAATGAAAAACACGCCACTGTACTAGTAAATGAACATGTGTACGGTTAGGAGGTGACTTTTAACCAAGTGTTTCTAGGTGTCTCAGTGTGTAAAAATAAAGTGAATAAATCTACACAAATTGAAAAAGTCCTTCACTTTTTTACACCTTCATGTGCATGGATAACGTTAGGTGACAAATCATATACTTGAAAAAATTCTGGTGAGTAAACAGAAGTATAAACAAAAATAATTATGAATGACAATTAATTGTGCTGACAAAAAATGAATATAAACAGCTACAGTCTCTGTAATAAACAGCTCCGCTTCAAAGCCAAGTAGCAGAGCCTTCCAATGTTCGGTAGAGTAGTGCTTTGCTGGGGTTTGTCTTAGCGCTATTAATTCGGTTTAAACATCTTCAGACCCATCGGTCTTTAATACAGCAGCTTGTATTTTATATCACAATCTTTATTTATTTATATTGATGTTTTGACACAATACACTAAAAATTCATCACATTGTCTGGACATTAAAAACTTTGCATTATCTAATTTAAGTAATGTGTTAAGGAAACACTATTTTTGTTTAAATCACTGCCACCTGTGTGAGATGCAGCTAATTGAACTCCTAGCGCTGCTCATCTTGTTATATCACTGCACTAACATAGACAGAAGTAGTGTTAACATGACCAAGACACAAGTACTGGGTACTATTGTATCGCTGCATAATATTGTAACTGAAAAGTTAGGGGGTATAAACTTAATTTTAAAGTGACTCTAATGCTAGATGAATAAAGTTAAACCAGCAGCTTCCTGTAAAATAAGAAAGCTTATATTTGCCTATTTGGCAGGTACTGGGTAAATCTTCACTCTCTTGAGGAGCTCCAGTCACTGCTACTATCTGACATTCCTGGGTATGTTTAATAGCACGCCCCCCCCCCACTAGATTCAGTGGTTTCACCTGCTGACCCTTAGAATAATGTGTGTGGGAAGAACTATAGAGCCCTATGGGCACCCCACTTTCATCTAGTCTAATGGTATAGGATCCCATCCATTATGGGTTTTATCGTTCTGTCTCCTCTCGCATAGGGTATCGCTCCTTACACTGCTTTCTCTATTATTTAGAATGAATGGAAAATCTAGCAGTAAGAGTGTCATCTTTTTTAAATGGCTGCAGTAAGTGGCTGGACTTGAGGGCTTGTGTGTAGAGCTGTAGCTTCTGAAATATCTAAAATCTGTAAAAGGCTAGTTCTCAGCCGACGTACTGACACCTATCCCAAACTGAGTGGATGATCACATTAAATGTCATTTGGTTATTCATACTATTGTGTTTTTTGTGTTTTTTTTTTTTTTATATATATATTTCATGTGTTTACTTTTTGTTCTTTGCAGGGTTGGTACATAGTAACATATGCCTTGGGTATCTACCACCTAAATCTCTTCATAGCATTCTTATCCCCAAAGGTAGACCCATCCATAATGGAAGATTCAGGTACGTTCTATTGTTTTAACGGATATATTTATCACTGGGTGAAGGTGTTGATAAAAGTTTCAATATTGAGTGTGCTAACGACAGGCTAATGTCTCCCAAAAATATTTTACAACTTTCACCAATTCTAAGTCCAAAGATTTCTGTTTGCTAAATGCTGACTACTTGTCTATTCATGGAGTTCCAGCAGCAAAGCAGCAAGACGTCCTTGCCAGGCATACAGTCCTGTCGTGACATTTGTTTTGTAATTTGTCATTTGTGATTGATATGGTGTGACAGGTATCGTCTAATCTGAGCAATCAGAAGCTTTGTATATGTGGCTTCATTTTGCAGTCATTTTTCATTACTATTTCATTGTACTGCCTATTAAAGAAAAACTCCTTGCAAACCTTTTTTTTAAACTCTTGCAGTAGGGTTACCCCCTGCAAGGGTTAACTGCTCATTTTTGTCTAGGTACTAGAAAAAAAAGTTATATTCACCTGTAGGGATGCACCGATACCAATACTAGTATCGGTGCCGATACTGAGTATTTAGGCTTTTATTTGGGAGTATTTACTCGTACTTGCTCAAATGCTCTGAGGTCAGTGAAAATCACTCACCTCATAGTTCTAGCCGACCTGTGACAATGAGACTGTCACAGGTTGGCTCAGTAGATCGGGAAGTGAGGAAACACATACCGGCGTTCGCTCACTTCTCGATCCTGTCCCTGCAGAGAGCCGTGACTGTAACTCACGGCTCCGTGCAGGGATTCCCTCCCTCCCCACTCTGATCCTCCAGTGCTTACTGGCAGAACGGACAGGGAGGGGGCGGGCACAGCTGGATCTGCCTCCTGATAGGCAGAGCCAGCTGTCACTCACACAACTGGGTGGATCCAGACAGTCCCGGCTGCGGCGTGTTAGTATAACGCGAGCTGTAGCTCGCGGTATACTGAGCTTTGGTTGATGGGAGGACGCTAGTTTGTGTCCTCCCGTTACCCTTAAGAGAACTATCGGGTTTGTCAGCAAATGTGTTTTTTTGTTTTGTTTTTTTTTTCCTTCAAATTCTTGATTTTACAAACCACTGATGTGCAGGCAGTATAAAAATGAGAAAATATGTTTCTTTTCTCCCTGCTGGGCGCTGTTCCAGCGGGGAGAAAAGAAAGTGACAGCCGGCCGAGCGCTGCGGTGGAGAGCGCTGTGAACGGCCGGCGTCTCCTCCCACACCGCTCTGCCGCCTATCACAGTCTGGCAGAGCGGTGTGTGGGCGGAGACATCGCTGTCACAGGAGGCTGAGCTTTCCTCTCTACACGGCTCGATCAGCGATCAGTGATCGCTAAGTGTGTGCACATAATTGAGAACATGGTATGTTAACTATATCGTCCATTATGAATGAATGGGAGTGATCTACATCTCATCTACATCACCCCCATTCATTCATAATTGTAGTTATAGTAAACAAACCATAACAGGGGCTGCAGAAAAAGAGATTGAGGACTTTGTGTTCTCAATCTCTTTTTCTATTTTAAAAGGGAAATATCAGGGGTCTGTTTAGACCCCTAATATTTCCCCAAAGCCCCTAGAAGTAAAGTAAAAAATAAAAATATTTAATAAAAAATGAATTAATAAAAAAAATAAAAAGTTTATAAAAAATAAAATATTGAGAAAATAAAAAACATTTTCGGTATCGGTTTCGGCCTAACATTTTTTTTTTTTTTATTTCAGTTTTGTTTTGGTTTTAAAATTTCCATTTCGGTGCACCTCTAATATATATTTTTGTTTTCTTTAGATGAGGGGCCTTCGTTACCTACAAAACAAAATGAAGAGTTCCGTCCATTTATTAGACGGCTTCCGGAATTCAAATTTTGGTGAGTTTTGTTCTTGTGTTTGCTGTTGTGTTATTCATTACATCTCTGGTTTATTGTTTTCAGTGTTCTAGTTATGGTTTGTCTCTGTCCTTTTGTCCTTTTGTGATTTGTCATGATTGGGAAGAGTAGAGAGTTGTGAGTTAGGTGCCGTGGTCATAAATGCGTTTTGAGTAGCAGATGAAAAGAAAGGTGCTGAGACAAGTAAAATGTGTTGCACTATAATTGACCAAACATCCTCATGATCCTGTCCTGTTTTCTTTTTGGGAGCTGTTTAAAGAAGAACTCTGTGAATTTAATAAACTTACCCTTGCAGTGGGGCTACCCTGGACCTG